TGTGTAAATATGTTAATTGTTTATTTGAGGTGACTGTTGAATAGATGTTTTATACAAGTTTTAAACTGTATATGTATTTTATCTACAAATATGTTGGGTAGAACATGGGTAGACAAAATAGTCGGTGGGTGTTAAAATGATGAGGGGCCTCGGTGTTGGTGTTGTTGTTGGTGTTATTGGTGAAGTTGTCTAACGGAGTATAGATGACAACCACGGACCTTTCTAGACAGTCCAGTGACACACTAGCAAGTTCGCAACTTGTAGGTGTTGATGAACTAAATGTTCATTGGTGTACTCCAATCCCCCTCATGGTTGCCTTTAGGACATGTATGGCTGAGGAGTCCCCTTAGCAGTAGTGTCCAACCCGATGATATTCCTTAGGATAAGTCCCTTGTGTTAGGTGTTTCGTTAACGATTGTATCCGATTCGTGACAGCCGTTTTACCTCAAGGTTTTGGAGGAGTCTATAAGAGGAATTGGGTACCAAGTTGTGTTTGAATACAGCTAAGCCCGACCCTCGTAGAGCCCGGTTTCTCAATAAAACTCCCGGTTTTATTAGAAACGATCGTTTTAGGCAACGAAGTGTTGCCCGGTTATTGTTAAATCATGTGAGTGTATAGTCACTTTCACCTTACACATATATGTGAAGTATTTTCTTTAAAATACGTGCTATGTGTAATTATATTAATTGTTTAATTAAGGTGACTGTTGAATAAATGTTTTATACAAGTTTTAAACTGCGTATGTATTTTTATCTACAAATATGTTGGGTAAAACATGGGTAGATAAATTAGATGATGTGTGATGAAATAAAAGTGATGAGAGATATCGATGTTTAAGATGATCTAGTCATCTAAACAGAGTATAGACAACGGCCACAGACTATTTTAGATAGTTCAGTGGAACGTTAGCAGACTTGTAACCGATAGTTATGTTTGAACTATATGTTCATAAGGTGTTCTCGAACTATATGTTCATTAGGTGTTTTTTTGAACTATGTGTTCATCCGTTAGTTCTTCTTTTTGACACTATTACGTGTCGGGGTACAGAAGCATGCGGGAGTACTTTATTAGTATTTTCCCTATGCTTTTATTTTGAAGAGCTTTGGAGTCTTCGTTTCTTTTGTGAAGTGTTCGGACGAGCTTCATGAGTCAGTGTTTTCATTTCCAATGCTGGATAGGGTGAGTCTGGGGGTTCAGACCACAGCCTAGGCATTAGTCAGTGTTTTCATTTCCAATGTTGGATAGGGGTGAGTCCGGGGGTTCAGACCACAACCAAGGCATTAGTCAGTGTTTTCATTTCCAATGCTGGATAGGGGTGAGTCTGGGGGTTCAGACCACAGCCTAGGCATTAGTCAGCGTTTCCATTGCCGGATAGGGTGCGTCTGGGGGTTATATACCTCACGATATTCAGACCACAGCCTACGCAAAGTTCGATGCTGGATAGGGTGCGTCTGGGGGTTATATACCTCACGATATTCAGACCACAGCCTAGGCAAAGTTCGATGCTGGATAGGGTGCGTCTGGGGGCTACATACCTCACGATATTCAGACCACAGCCTAGGCATTGATAACTACCCCTGACTTAATTGTCTTGTGGTGCTTTCTTTTACGAACAAAGGTTCGTGGTTAAACTTATTCCATTCATTCGATATCTTTATCGATCCTTGTTTGCTGCTAGGGGATTTCCGAAGCAGTTTCGTTAGTTGGTTGTTCATATCGATCCTTTAGGCTAGATCTAGTAAGATCACTGTATAGGATCAGTATGTGGGGATCGACGTTGTTAGTGCTTGTAGTATAAACCTTGAGCAGCGATGGACTCCGTGCCTATTCCTTAGGATGAATCCTTAGGAATAAGTGATAGTTGATTCTTAGGGTAAATCCTTAAGAAATAAATAAGACAATGGGGATTGGGTAATTGGGTTGATTGTTTGATGTTTAAGCATAATAAATTATTTATTGTGGGTTGAAAACCCTATATGCTCACTAGGCTCCCAAGCCTGACCCACCCAGTTTAATTGTATCACAGGTATCAATACGAAGTTGCTTTACACTGAGAGATTAAAAGAGAAGTAGATCACTAGTGTAAATGAATGTAAGTTTTGTTTATGCTTATGTTTTTGTATTGACAATGACATCCCAATGGTTTAAGTGAATAAAATACATTTCTTCGGAAATGATTTGATAACATATTTATCATGTTTTTCTGGAAACAAAGTCTGCAACACTTTTAATCAAATGATTACTCTGAAATTATTTTAAAAGCATAAATTAAATTGGTCTTTTCTGGCCGTGAAATTGGGGATATATATATATATATATATATATATATATATATATATTAATGCACATGAACAATATAATTTGGTTGGTTTAGAATTTTGCCACGGAAATTATCAGGTTCTGGCAATTTTCATCCCTTATTAGCTATTTTTTAAAATTTATACCTGGCTGATCTGTTCAACGTGGCAATATATGGCTCTATAGTAGATAGTCTGCTTCCACCTCCCTTCACCGACCCTGTAATCCAATAAGCATTGGATTGGTGTCTACTACCCTTTTCTCATAATCCTTTTCGTTTCGTCCTTGCATCGATGCTTCTTCAACATTTGGGTGCTCTCACAGTCGTCGTTTTCACCTCTCCGCTTCCGCAATATCTGTAAACCCGTCGGCATCGATTGTTTCCGCTCCTTTCCTGCTTCCCACCGCTTCCAAAACCCTTTCTTCATCATGCCCGCCGCCCTTTCCCCCCTTCTCCATCTCTGCATCTTCGGAGTTAAAAACAAAAATATATTAAAAATACTAATTTTAAACAATAACAGTAAACTTACAAATATGACATCTAATGTCATATTTAAAGAAGTCTTTGTAAATTTATAATTTAACTTTTGTTTTAATCAACTCATGTAGTACACGAGTCTCATACCTAATGTTTATATACACGTCAAATATGACTATTATGAAAAATTATGTTTTATGTTTTATGTTTTAAAAAATAATGTTTTGCATTAAACCCATGCTTGTTAAATTGAGGATCCTATATAGTATCGATTTCAATCGTAAGGTGCGATAAAATTTCTTTCTAAAGTTTGTAAAAAGGTTTTATGTAAATTATGTATATTTAAAATAACTCTTATATTCACAAAATTAAAATATGTTCTATTAAATCGGCACTTATATTCACTAAATTAAGAGTTAATATACTAATGAAGTTTGTAAAAGGGTTTCATATAAATTATCTATTTTAATTTAAAAAAACAAAACAAAACAAAAGAAATCATTCAATTTCCAAAACGATGTTATAGAAAAGTGATCAAAAATAACTAAAAATGATTGAAGGACTATATAATAAGATTTTATTTTACATTTAAAATTCTTAAATGAAAGTAATATAAAATGTATGGGTATTTTTCTAAAGCACTGTTACAAATAACTACACAAAACAATTTATGGTTGAAAGACTATTATACAATTAGATATTCTTTATATAAATAAAACTATGCTATATAATAGAAAAGTTTGCCACATGTCCTCCTTTTGTTTAACCATCTTTTTGCTTCCTACTCAAATTAGGTTAGTTTTTTTTTTTCGATTTGGTGTTATGGACAAACTGTTTCATTTGGTATTAATTTATTTTCTTATTTATTTTGTTTTTGATTTCTGTCTATTCGATCTCTGAACTTTGATTTTTTTTATAATGTCGGTGCTTTGTAAAAAATATATCTACATATTTTTTAGCCACTTGATTCTACAGTGAAATACCCATGAGCATCGCTTCGAAAGAGAGTCAAGATAAGAGAACCATTTTCTACAATAAAAGTTTCATTCGACTGAAAGAGCAACAAAAAGGGTAAATATTCCTATTGTGTACAAGGTACGATTCTTGTTTTTCTCTATATTTTCATTTTTTATTGTTTGTTTTTTGGGTTTTGTTCATGAAAGTTTAAATTCACAGGATTACAAAGGGTACTTAATTTCTATTTTGTGAAAGAGTGAATGATGTTGTCAAGGGAAGTATCCCACACTAATCACTTCCATGAAAGTAATATCATATTTAATGGCTTCTATTTGGTAGCTTATTGGTCACATCTTTGCAAATATACAGAAACCAAGTTTAATGTTTTTTAATTTACATAGAAAGTTGTGCATTTTCGCTTCATAGTTAACATGCGCACCTATTTATGTACTTACATATTCTGGTCTACGATTTTACAAATGTTGTATTTTATTTCTCTTAGTCTAATGTTATAGTATCTTTTGAGCTAGGAATTTTTATACCTTTGTTAATCAGAAATCATGTTCAACATGTGTTAGTTGAGAACATTTCCTTGTGATCATTAATGGTATATATATACTCAACGTATGTCTCTTTTTTTTTTTAATCTTCTTGGTCTTTCTATACAAGATTAAGGGCATCATAAGCTTCTTTTTTGAAATAGTGGGTGTGGTTTTATCATTTCATCTATATGGTAAAAGTATTCGCAACCATTAAATATAGTTAGTGGCACTTATTTGAAGTTAACTTAGAGCTAAATCGGATGAGGAAACTTTCATTTATTTGTTATTATAGCATCCAACCTTCTATTTTACAACATTGTACTTTAAAAAATATACTCAATTAAAATGTATGGATGTTATGTTGTATAATGGTTGATATCTCTATAATTGTATACTTCTTTCAATGTACAATCATGTAATAAGATGGAATGAACTAGGATGCTAAACTAACGAATGTTGATAGAAAATTTTCATTGTTACTTAGAATAATTTACCCATCTATGAAAAGTGCCTTGTATTTGGATGGCATTGCTATAATTTGATATATGTTTTGAAGTCCTGTAAAAATGCTATAATAGGAAGCACATTTCTATCTACATGTAACTATAAATGGTTGTTCGATTGATAGACATGTTCTTCAAAAAATCTACCCAATTATAACAATGTCATCCAAATACAAAACAATTTTTTCTCAAAGTATAATGTAGTCATTAAGACATCAAATGCATTGAAAGTGCAACATGTAATGTAGTAATTAACTTCATATCAAGACACCAAATAAATCATATGTCAAAACTTGAGAGATCAACTCCAATTGTTTCAAAGATTCAACTACTTGAATAATGTAAGGGTGTTTACAATGCAAAAAAATAAAAGCACAACAGCATTTGACATATCATTCTTCCATTCGATTATCAGCAGATTCATGTTGAACGTTGACTTTGACCTTATGAGCTGGTGTGGCAGTTGACTCTTTTGCACCAGGAGCTTTGACCATGTGGAGTTGCTCATCATGTTCCTTTCTAGCCTCCTTTCTTTCCTTTGCAGCCTTACCCTTCATCCTGCATCATCATCATCATCATCATCATCATCATCATCATAAAAAAACTTAATATAAATATATAATAAAAATAAACAAAATGGGATTAAAGAAAGAAAGAAAAAAAAAATACCTATTCTTATGGTGAGTCTCCTCCCTACGGAATCTGACTTTGTCAATTGTCTTGATTGCCTTGAGTGTGTTCTCTGTGAGGTTTCTGTCATACCTCTCTGGCCTGTTGCGTTTCCTCTCAAATTCAAATGTCGAATCCTTGAGGGCAAATTTGTAAATAATGTCAGTACTTAACTTATTAAGCTGTTCTTTTTTTTATCAAGTCAAAAGTGCAAAAAAACTAAGGATGTGTACCTGAGTCATGTCCTTGCCATGTAAACGCCTATAAGCTTTTGTCCATTTCACCTTGCGAGGATTCCTCTTCATTTTAAAGTTCTTGTGGCATTTTGATCGACAAAATCTAAAGATCTGTAATTCCAAAGATCATGTAAATATTGTTTATAATGTACCAAAGAAACATGAAGGTAGAATCTACATAAAATAAAATAAAAAAAATACCTTTGCATCATTTCTCACAAACTGGATACCATGTCCTGGATATACTGTAGAGGAACAAAACCAGCACTTTTCCAACCTCATTGAAAAATCTTTCAATCAACACCAATTTTTTTCTGAAACAAACAAAAAATGGAGTTATGAATGAAGTCTGAGGATAAATAGATAACAACTAGTAGCAATGCAAGTTATGCACATGAAACTGAAGAAACTGAACTAAATGATGATGATGCAACTAGTAGATCATGAGTGAAGTTGCCAGATTCTTCCACTGGTGATTATCAAGTATTTACATTAAGAAAAAACGATTCTTTGAATGAAACCCATGAATATTCACCAACTCTTAAGTTTGGTGATTTCAAAGATGGGTTTGAAAATCTTGCGGATTGTGTTACTTAAACATCTGTAGCCTTAGATGATTCAAATACATGGATGATGTCCCGGAAGTTGAAACCCTAAAAGATATGTGACTTTTCTAAATGTGGTGGTAGATGCTCCGATATCATACAAACAGAAAAAAATAATAATAAACTTTGTGAAAATTGCCAAAATTGGTATTCATCGTTGACGCCTCAAGCAGAAGTAGCCATGTCAGATGGGTAGAGTAGTTTTGTAGAGTTAATCTCGAACATGTTATCAGAAAGATTGGAGAGTAGCTTTGTAGAGTTAGTCCAGAAAATCAAATAAAACTATTAACAAGTCATTAGCATGAACATTTATGTTCCATTAGGTTGCTCGTTCTGGGCATTCAATAAAAAGCATACTGAGTTTGACAAAAAACTAAGAAAAATCGAACCTTTTATCAAATATTGTACAGAAGCAGTCGATCTATAAAGAAACCTTGAACCCTTACCTTATGACAAGGACGAAGAAATCAGCGCAGAAGACAGCGACGAAGAGGGCGGCGACGGAGAAGAAAGCGGCGGAGTTCTACACCGACGCAGGGGACGGTTTGTGGATTTTCTGGTAAAACCCTAAAACAAGATTTTGAGGTTTTCTTTCTCTGGGTTTAAATAGTTGGTCCGTTGGGCTTTAATATTTGGTTTATTTAGCTAAAAGAATATTTTGTTATTTCCCTTTATTTATGGTCCAAAATAATAATTCTTATATTATAGGGTAAATTATATGAATAATCGGGATAATCTGTGTATTTAGTTTTCAATTTTTTTTTTAGTTTGGGCCACTCTTTAGTAAAAGAATATTTGGTTATTTCCCTTTATTTATGGTCCAAAATAATTTTATACAACGTCTCGAAAATTGCGACATAAAATTTTTTGTTTTTAGATTAATAAATCGTTAATACATTTCTTTCCTATAAAACAAGGTAACCATGATTTAGCAAAACATCATCAAATCAGAGTAATTTACAGAATGCGGAAACATGTGGTGTGTGCTCTGCAATCATCTCAAGCTCTACCATTTGAAAACCGGAGTACCTGAAACACAAATTGAAAACCGTAAGCACAAAGTTTAGTGAGTTCCCCAAAAATACCACATAACATAAAATCACAGAATATCATGCGACATACATATAGTTGTCATGGGCTACCCCCATGGTCTTTACCTGGATTGTCATGGGCTCCCCCATGGTCTTTACCTGGATTGTCATGGGCTCCTCCCCATGGTCTGATATCCAAGTGCCATGCCCCCCCCCCCCCCAATGGTCTGATCTCCAAGTGTCATGAGCTACTCCTATGGTATTGACCTAGAATACCATGGGCTCCCCCATGGTATGATATCCAAGTGTCATGGGCTACCATCATGGTCTTTCATGCAAGTATCACAGATACAACTAGAATTCCACATAGCAAGTAATGGATCGGCATTGGTGCCTTCGACCCATGGATATAATGAGAATACTCACCTCGACAGTTGAACCCACGAATAAATCTCTGACTGTAGATCCGCTAGAATCCCCGTGCTATCAAACAATTAACACCCAATTAACAATTGGGTTCCAAACCGAATCCAATAATCCATATATGGGGTAAAAAGACCATTTTACCCCTCACCTAGTTTGGTCCAAAACTAAGGCCCAAACTCCTCATCATAAAGGCCCACAAACCAATAATCATCCAAAGCCCACTTATGGCCCAAATTTCCAAAATTGGGCCCAAACCCTTACATGGACCTTACCCTAAAGCCCATTAACTTTTCCTGATCCAAAACACATATTCCCAGTTGGTCCAGCCTTTTCTCATTATCATCTACCACCCTTTCTTTCCTCCCCACTATTCACGCATGAAGATCGTCGTATGTATGCTCTACTTCGGGTGTCGGTGCTATAGTATAGGTAGGTATACATTATGGCAGGATCAGTCACCCGGGAACGACCAAGCCCAAAAAGGTAGCCCAAACCAAAGCCCAACACTCAAAGTCCAATAGACCGAGTACGCGGGGCGTACAAGCACGTACGCGCAGCGTACTCGCTTGGAGGCTTGTAAGTTGCGCGTACCTGCTTGTACGCTCAACGTACTCACCCTATCCAGCCCAAACTTGATTTTCATTTAATCCATTAAGACAAAGCTTCCCAAACACAGATCTAACCTCCTTGAGTTGGATTATCACGTAAAGTTGCCAACTTTACGTCCATATATGACTAAATGAAGCTCTTAAGCTTAAAAATGGACTTTTTGGTTGACTTAATGCATGAATGACACCATTCTTCACATAAAGCTTGCACCTTTATGCTCAAGGATTCCAAAACAACTCAAATCTGAAAGAACCAGCCCTTAAACAACCCAACTCATCCATAGACTCAAAAAGAATACCAAAATCATAATAAGCTAGCCATGAAGAGATCTAATCATACACAAGCCAAGATGCAAACTTGATACCTCAAAAAGCTTCCCCACAAGATGATGATTTTGGATCCAAAGCCCCTTCACCAAGCCAAACAACTTCAAGCTTCTCTTCTTTCCTTCCCAAGGGCAAAATGTGTACCAAAAACCTTCTAAGAGCTCAAGAACACCATCAAGAGGCTAAAAGGGTCGATCTAGGGTTTTTAGGGTATGGAGGCTAGCTTAGAAATGAACCAAAGGGACTAACATAAAGCTTATATAGGGTACATCCCTAAAAATTAGGGTTTCATCCTTTCCCTCGTACGCCCAGTGTACTCCTCGTACACCCAGCATACGAGGTCTCGCACCCCGATCCCAGCTTCGCTGTGACAACCGTCAAAATTGAGTCAAGTCAAAGTCAAACAAAGTCAACAAGTCAAAACCAATCGACTCAATTAACCCTTGTATATTAGGGTTTACACTATGTAATTACTGTACAATGCAATATCTTAATGAGAGAAACATCATTTGGAAAGTTCGTGTGTTGAATATCCTAAGTAAACATTGAACCAAAACGATAAAACATTATTGCACACTCATCGGGAGTGTGTACGACACTAAAACACGGTTTAACGGGGTTTACGAACCTTGCGTTGTGAAGCCGGACACTCAAATTAATCACAAACGAAACCTCTCTAAATCATTTTCACTCTATCTCTTTCTATTTGAAATCTCTCCCAAATCTCTCTCAAAAAGTTACTTTAACTTTTTGTAATCATTTGGGTCATATCGACCCTTAACCGGGTCAAAAATCGCTTGAAACGGGGTAAAAACGGGTAAAATAGCCTTAAGGACCTGGAACTGAAGCTTCAGGACCGAAGCCTCTCATCCGAGGCCTCGGATCCGAAGCCTCTCATCAGGACCGAAGCTGAAGCCTCTCAAGAGACCGAATCCGAAGCCCTCAGACAGCAGCCTCGCATGCGAGGGTCCGAAGTCTCGGCCCCCATCCGAGAGGTCTCGCAGACGGCCCCTTTTTACCGGTTTTTCGACTACGACTTCGTTTTAACTCCGTTTTTCATTATTTTAACATGGGATTTTCACCCAAAACTTTATTTTATAAACTAAGGCCCCAAAATATATAAATCTCCAGGGTTTTTATAAAAATTTATTAAAAGAATTGGTGGTTGGACTAATTATTGAGGGAATATTTGCTTTTCCTTATTTTATGACAAAAGCAAGCCACCACCACCTCACTCTATGATCAGCCACTCTTTCCCACTACTCTTTGTCACCTTAGTGGACCTTTACACCCAATCTCCAGCTCTTCCCACGTTCTAAGAGCTGGAGGATTGATCCTCTCTCCTCATTCTCCATAAAGTTCTTTCATTCTACACTTAGCAACCAAAGGACACTCTCCAAAATTCTCTCATCTTTTCTCTCAACTTCAAGAACTTCAAGGCTTTCTACAGGGATTTCTTCCTTCAATTAGTAAGTATCTTCATCATTCACATAATTATTAAACTCCATTCTACTCAAATCATTGATATCTTACATAAATTCCATCTTATTCGGTGTTAGATTCTCGAATCATCAAGACATCTTCTTAGTGTTCTTGGGTTGAACACTTCCTCTATCTCACTTTCATCTACTGAAATCACATAAGGTGAGTTCATACCCCTACATTTACATGTTTTTCTTAAGTTTTAAGGGGGGAATGCAAGTAAAATCATCAAGAACACAATTAAACTTTTTCTATCAGATTACATCAGAAAAGATGAACTTCGATCACGGACTGTTTTGGTCAACTTAAATATTTTAGTTTTCAAAACTGTTCCAGGTGCAAGTAGTTCAAACTCTTAGCTTTAAAATGGCTACTTGTACATCTACATATGATTTTTCTACAATTTATGGTGATTTTTACAAAACTGCCTATCATTTCAAAGGCAAACCCGGACCAGTCTGTGATTATGAACATTTTCACCTCTGTTAGAGATCACTAAAAATCATGATAAAATTTAAGAACAAACTAGACTCATATTCCAAACTCTCAGAATTTGCGGATTTGGATTTAGAGCTTTGATGATTTTTCTATAAATTTTCTAAGAACAGTAACAGAAACTGTATACAACAAAAAGTTGCTGTCAATTTCATTTCACCTTGTAACATGTTGAGCAAGGTGTATATCTTTATGTGATTATATGTTATTGCAATATATGACATTTTATCTTAATATTTAGACACACATCAGTTTACAAATGGATTTGGACATATAAAATATAAAGAATAACAAGTGATTATAATCAAAGTACAACTGATACATTCAAACATTTAATAAACTATTTTGAATATAGTTTGCATACATTACTACGTACTACCCTTGGTTGATAAACTATAATAGGTATAGTTTATGATACATTACATAATACATACATTTAAAAAGGGTACATTTATACAAAGGATATTTTCATTAAGCAAGGTACGGCCATACGGTACCAAGTTTTCATAACACGTAATTCCGTTAATGACTTTATGAAACATTACATAACACATACATTTAAAAAGGGTACATTTATACAAATGATATTTTCATTAAGCAAGGTATGGTCATACGGTACCAAGTTTTCATTACACTACACGTAAATTCGTTAATGACTTCTGTGAGACATTCGATTCAATTTACAAATAAGTCCTGTATTATAACCAGGGTCTCCTCGAGGGAGAGCGTGATACTTGTGTATAGATCTATATATTGGGTCTGACAAACCCACACCTTAGCTGCATGCAACAGCTAGACCGACAGGTCTGGGGTGACAAATGTCATAACATTTCCGACGCCTGAAGAACGTCGTTTCAGGCCAACTAGGTCATAGCATGGTTATAATAACTCACATGTGGTATTAACAAACATAGAATTTACGGAGACTTCACTAAAATCAAACGAGTTTATGTCGATTTAAACTTGCATTGTTTTACTATAAGGAACGAACACTACTTGTACATTTCGGTCTTTGGGTTTTAAGACTACATTTACACATTAAGGAAAATATTGGATTTTCTGGAACAAACACTACTTTTACAAGAAAAGGCTTTAATAAACTCACATAAAGTATTAATGAATATTAGAATTTACGGGAACTTCATTAAAATTAAACGAGTTTATGTCGATTTAAACTTACATTATTTATTATAAGTAAGAAAAGTTACTTATACATTTCGGTCTTTGGATTTAAGACTACATATACATTTTAAGGAAAATATTGGATTTTTCTAAAACAAATACTACTTTTACAAACGAAAGGCTTTTAATAATACCAAACAAAAGCTTATGAACTCACCAACCTTTGTGTTGACACTTTTTCAAACAACTTGTATTCTCAGGAAATCATTAAACAGGTAACCAAGTGCTTTTGAGGATGGGACGCTAAGGCGTCTACTATTTCATATTTTGTCAACATATTGTAATTGATTCGTAAACATGTAATTCATACAATGATGTAACTTTTTTCAATTATATATATGTTGGTTGTGTTTGCTTGAATTACTATTACAATTGTTGTTATGATACTATACCTCCACCCCGGACGTTTCCGCCATCCTTGGTTTGGGGGTGTGACATTCGCAGTGCGCTAAGCGTACGCCTTGTTACGCACGGCGTAGATCTCTTCGCACCAGTACGCCCCATGTACTCTTTTGGTACGCCCCGCGTACTAAGGTCTACCCTCAAACCCTAATTCATTCTGAAGGTCATAACTTCTTCAATACAACTCCGATTCCAACCATCCTTATATCCATAAAAAGGTAACAAGAAGCTCTATGCTTTTAACAACTCATACTTTCCTTACAATATCCCGAACAAACATCCAACTTCCATAAAATCTCGAGCTGACAATTTACTAAAATACCCTTGGCTCCAAAACTAACTCCGAATGCTCGAATCATCCACATACCATCACCCACACCCAAATGGGTAGCGATGCGTTACATTTTAAGTCTATATAATTGTAGAATATTTCGTTATTTCCCTTTATTTATGGTCCAAAATAATTTTAAGTCTATATAATTCTAATATTAAATGATATGAATAGTCCTTATGATCTAGGGTAATCTATGTACTTCGTTTTTAATTTTTTTTTTTTATTAAATTGGGCCAGTCTTTGTAGTTTGATTTTATTTCATACATGACCCTATACGTAAAATGACTATATATATATATATATATATATATATATATATATATATATATATATATATATATATATATATATGTGTGTGTGTGTGCGCGCGTGTGTGTGTGTGTGTTTTCAAATGAACATTAAATAAAGTGAAAATATTAAGACACTTCTTTTATGTTATTATCTGTTATCAAAACATATCTTATGTAACTCAACCAAACTTTTTTTTTCCAGCACCAATCATGAAACTATGTCCATAATACAATATCTTGTATAGTCAATACAACATCACACATGATGTACAATCAATACAAACACAAGAGACATGAGAAAATAAGAGAGGACCAGGAACATAAAGAGAATCGAGGAGGAAGGTAAAAGAAAGTGATTGGGTTCTGTTTTTTTTTATTTATATGATGCTACATGGAATTGAAGCTTCACCGTTGACACCCTCGTTGCCAATAATAAATACAGCTTTATGGATTAGGCGGGTAATCATTTCCAATTCATTGTATCGATAATCATATATTCATGACACTGTAACACTTTTGTATACACCTTCATTGTAGTCAAACTTATATGACTTTGTGCATGAGTGTTATGTTTAAAAAAGAGACTCACATATTTGATTATTTTCTAAAAAGTAACATACAACTACATTAAATGTAAGGTCAATGTACACCCAATAAACTTTCTCATTCTCGGCTAAATAATTTTGTAGGTGACATTTTTTCTTCAATCCTGACACAAATTCGAGTCCAATAATTTTTATCATTCTCGGCTAAATAACACATCATTTCTAAGGAGACACTTATCAGGATATCTCAAATCCAACACCAAATGTCTTTTTTTTTTAACAAAAATGATATGAAATCATCTTTGATCATACTTCATTTCCTACACCATTTTGATGTAAATGATTAGAATACCAAATTTGGTGTTATATTATTCCTTTACACCAAAAAAAATGTCAAAGTTTAATGTATTGTTTTACTTTTTAGTCTCTCAAGTTTCATATCTATTCATTGGCTAGGTATACAATAATTATTAAATAATTAATTTCTAGTTTATTACACATGACTAGATATATTCTAAATGTAATAATTATTTGGTTATAATTTTGTAATAGTATATTTCATGAAGCTTTTACAACAAAAAAGATGAAAATAAATATGCAAAAAAATAATAATTTGTAATGGTTTTTTTAAGACTTCTATAAGGTTTAAAAAAAAAAAAAAAACAAAACAAAACAAAAAACAAAACAATTACTATGAGATACGTTTTTTGGTGCAAAAAATAGTGCAAAATGGTGTGTGGTTATAGATGAAACAATGTTTCTATATTTTTGTGTAAGAATAATATCGTGTTGGAGATGGTCATAAGAGTCCAATATTATATATCTTAGAATATTGGCAATATAGTAACATATTCAACTTATATGTATTTTTTCAACTCCGGACATGTGTATAAACCAATTTCTTAAATTGTTCATACCTTGTTTTACACCTTGTTTTACGATCTAAGAATATTTGAAGCTATCAAAATTGATTGGTCACCCTAGATGACTCCGTTCTCATATTTAATATTACTATTTCAATATAAATTATTTATAAAAGGGACAATTCAAGCCAAAATAATAATGAACATAAAAGATTGTAACCTCAAAACAAATTATAAGATAAATGATGTACATTAATATCCTCAATCTAACGTTTCACATCAAACATATGCAATATATTAAAGCAAAAATACATACTTATGTTTGAGTTATGAAATCAAAGAAATGCAATATATTAAAGCAAAAATACATACCTTATGTTTGAGTTATGAAAGAACTAAGGATGCAAATGTGATAGAAATAAGGAAATCCGAGGATACAAACATGAGAGAGAACAATTTGAAGGAATGATAAAAGAAACTCAATTCAGCAAATGAAATTTATAACATATCAAAGTGATATATATTCAGATGCTTTTGAAGTTGTTTTTACAGATCTTATATTTGATTTGCCCGTTTCTACTTTCTATATAAAAGTTATATGTGTATTTATTGTATGTCAACTTCTAATACTATATATATGCATTTCTTTGTTATATAGTATAATTCTAATAATATTCAATGTTGGTATTGATTTGAAGGTATTTATGAGATTTTTAATGGTATAGACTTGGGACTCTTTCGATAAGGAGAATTGGAAATGGTGTTGGATCTTTCTTTTGGAAAGATTGCTAGCTAGGTTAATTGTCGATCTTTAATTCTGGTGGATTATGTTTAGATTTAAGAGATGTAAGTCGGATCATGCCCTTATTTGGCTCTAGATCATGTGCAAGCTTCTTGCTAGGTTTTTTCAATGAAGTTTTGCTGCTTCAAAAAAAGAAAATACTAGTAAAAACATAGATACCTTATAACTCTATATAAAACCTAACAAGATAAACCTGCTAGATGTAGTTCATACATACCATATAACCCTATATCAGACCCAACTCTATCTAAAAGCCTAACAAGATATACCTGCTAGATGTAGTTCATAAATACCATATAACTCTATACTAGACCTAATGGCAAACCATTGACTAAAAACTAAAAAGTCAAACTTAATTTTTTTGTAAGATCTGCTGCTAGCTATACCCATAAGAAAAACTGCACAGTCTACATACATATGCAACCACCAAAATCTTCACTCACTAGCTTCTTCAGTTGTCTTCTTGAATCCAACATGCAAAATAAAGAAACCAAATAGATCTTCGTTATCACTAATTAATTCTCCCGAATAACGTAGAAAAGACGTGATATTCCCAGAAATGTTAAGAAATTACCTTGATGAAAAGTGGTGGTGGCATTAGGTCAAAAACACATCACTTGTTGTCATGATGATAAAACCTTGACACAGTATTTTCCAATTCTCCTGAAATATCTTCTTTGCATTTTGGACATATCACGAGACTTTCTGCATCAAGAGACCCATAAAAGAATTCAACAAGACACCACATACATCTTGTTTTCAAGTTTCTCTTCACTTCAGAATTGTTTTTTGGTTCATTTGATGGTTTTGTCAAACTTGATGATCCTTGTCCATTCATGGCGATGTTTTCCAAGTCAACTATCTGCCATTAAAGATTCAAAGATAGGAATAAGTTGATAGAGATTATAAATCTATTTTAGTTTTAGAAACGGTTTAAACTTGCTACCAATATACACAATCTACTTTAACAAAAATCATACCGTAATAGCAATGTACTTAGTTTTTTGCTCATAATAGCAACACACGTACATTTCTTTAAAGAAGTGTAAGTACATTGTCTATAAAAAAAAGTATGTTGTATTTCATGCAATATAGTCATTGATATATTTATTACAAAGAGAAAAAGATATGGTTTGCTTTGTTACCTTATGTGCAACAACTCGTTTTTGCTCGAGTGAATTCTCTACGGTTGACCGTTTCTCGGTCAAAGTATCCGAATCCAACCTCCGAATAGTATGCAAGTCATTAGCTCCTATTTCTACAATAGATGGTTTAGGAATTCTAGCCACCTGAAATTCAATAAAATAAGGTGCAAGAATTAACTTTTATGCTTGGTTTTTTATAGAATCAACATGATGATTATGTTATTATCTACTTACCGATTCAAGATCCACTTGGCACATGGGCCCTTCAATAGGATTGGCATCATTTGTTGCAAATAGAGATTTCAAGTAGAATGCAACTTCTTTGCAGGATTTGAAATGCATGTCTGATGGACTGATGGAATCAAGAAAGCAACATTTTTAGCCATGGCATTAAGAAAAAAGTAGGATTAAAAAAGGGTAAATTAACACCCTCACCAACTAAATTTCAACAAAGAAAGAGGCTATCAAGAAAATTATTGAAAGCCATTATCATGGTATACATTGTTTCTTGAATGATAACGGAAGCCCCAAAACATGCAAAACACCCGTATAAGGGTAAAATGGACCTTTCCGACACGGATGCGTGCATGAGAAACTATAAACAAAAGTTTACATGTTGCAATCTTCTTCCTTTTTCGTTGTTTTGTCTATTTTCCCATACTTGGTAGATACGTCACTTAGTTTACTTTAAAAGAAGTGAAGTGTTAGGGCTTTGAATTACCAAATTGATTGATCACTAACATTTGGTTTCCCGTTCATCTTGCATGGAAGATCTAACGTTCAATGTCCATTGAGATCACATTTGTCATTGTTAATATTATAGAAAAGTCAACCAAAATAAAAAAGAAATCATCTCGTTGTTATGATGCAAATCGATAGGATATCATGAATTGCAACAAGCAAGGGTAAATAACAAACTACAACATCCATGAAAAAATCAATAGTACTTGCAAATGTATATGATAAACATCTGTAGATTAGCAGTAGTAGATCAGATCACTAACGCCATAAAGTGCAAAACATTCTAGCTATAAACGGAAAGATTATGTCCAAAGCTAATGTAGTAACTACAAATTGCACTTCAAAAGATGGAAAACATAATGAAATTACTACTAAAACTTGCAACTTCTTCGTCCCATCGATCATGAGAAGTTGACAACTAAATACTTTATAATAAAAGAATTAACAAATAACAAGTTCAATTGAAGAATTAATTCTTGTTCCTTTTGGGAATTGAAAAACTTCTAGAAAAAAGGATTATCTTTTTGAATTTGATATATATCAAGTCCATTCCAAAGTAAAAAAGAACCATGTTAAACTATATGAAACTACAACTTTCAAAAACCAGTAAAAATCACATTTTTTTTCTGGTTCAAGAACCAAAGAATTGTTGATTCAAGATTAACTAGCTCAGTTGCGCATTAATCATGCACATAAATCTTTCACTACAACTTTCGATCTGAAATGAATACCATGAAACACCCACAAAATTCATCAGAAATCAAAGTGAAAAGAAGGAAGAAAATGTGATGATTACTACCTGACGAATCTCCGGCAATAGAGAGACGGCCGGCGAGCACGAGGGCGTAAGGAGAGCAAGATTTTCCAGTTACTCGGCAGCGCTTTCACGAAATCAGCGGCTTCGACGTACCTCCTCCGCTTCCGGCTGCTGCCCCATCGCCCTTTTAAACCCTTTAAAAACCCTAGAAATTCATCTTCTCGCACCATCCCCTCCGTCATCCTGTTTAACGCAGCTTCAAATGCGCCATCGGCACCACGCGCCAAGAATTTCAGATCAATCTCCTCCCCGTTTACATTGATCACACCCAAACCCTCGAATTCTTCACTGTTCTCCTCCGCCGCCTTCGATTTTCTCTTCCTCTTCCTCTTTTGAACTCCCCCTTCGTTATCCGCCACCATGTCTCTGCTAGCGTTCGAATCATTGACCTCGCCCTCCGCTTCCAATTTCTCCAGGAAATTTAAGATGAACCTATTTTCCGTCAGTTGTGGGTCAGCGTCGTCGTTAAGGGAAGCGGAAATGCGACGGTGATGACCTCGTCGGTGAGAGAATGCGTAAATTTTGCTAGGAGGGGTTGTGGTGGTGGTGGTGAATGGGATTGTAGACGGGTGGTCGGAGTCAATGTTAGGGATGACAACATTTTCGGTACTCTGGATGTCGAAAGCGGAAGAGGAACAGCGGGAGAGTGAGTAGAGCTCCGACTGAGACATTTTTTTCATGCCCACATGAGCTAACGATTGTAACTCCATTTCAGACCTGCTACCATCACCGCCACTACCACCTGATGATCCATGATCTGCAGTCTTCTCGATCACCATTTCCGACTTTCTACCACCGAATTCCGGTGGTGGAGTGAAAAACTGAAAGAGAGCTCGTAGGGGGAAGGTGGGAGTGATCTCACAGTGCCTGAGAAAGTATGTTGAAAGCCATGATAAACGGTTGAGATGGAAGTGTCAGCAGCTGCCGGAGGAGGACTTGGTTTGTTCGCCGGTGGAAATGGGTGTGGATGAAGACTGAAGAGGCTTTTATATGACAGAGAGCGACAAAAGTAAGTAACCGATGTACTTTTCCCCGCATGATTTACAAGTGTCTGGTTATAGCTGGGATTCACATTCATGTAATCTTATTCCCTTTTATATCATTTATTCTGTTTTTTACTCTCTCTTTCCTTGTTGTCAAAGCCCTTTATTTAGTAAAATGTCACGAGAAACATAAGTAACCGATGTCTTTTTCCTCTCGCATGTCTTTTTTCCCCTATGTTTGAGTTTGGCTTAAAATAAAATAATTGAAGTCTCCTTCAAGAGAGATAAAAACAACTTTAAATTTTGTAAGGCAATGGGGTGAGTTGTCATGCTCCATATAGTTTTTGCTTGCTACCTTTATTTATCCATAATTTTCCAGACAACACTTTTTTTATCTTGTAAATAGTTTTCAACTTTTCATCACCTCCCTCATTTGCTCATTTTTTTTTATTTACAATTAAAAATAAAACAATTTTAGTTTGACCAATAAAAAATAATTTACTAAAATAAAGATAACATCAACATCAGAAAAAGTAACACGGACATGTGGATTAGAGAATGTGAAATGGATTCACATATGGATTGAGAGAATATGATATATGGATCCATCTTTGGGTTAGCTTGACCCATGGATTCAAAGAGGGTGAAATGGATTCATCCTGACCCATCATAATAGTTCTTTTCTATCGTAAAAAGAAGCTAAACGTGAGACACCGCATGAGGGGTAGTGCTCCCAAGCTCCCAACAGTCCACCTCATCGTCCCTACATATTCTCTCTTTTTCACTCCCATAGCCTAACAAATGTGATCAAATTAACCAATGGCCACAATTTTGACTTGAGTCTCGAGCGAGCTTAAGTCGTGTTCAAGCTTAAGTAACTTGATAGAAAATTGTTTCCTAAACATTCATTACATTAAGTTGGTACACTTTATCATGTCTTTCATTGTTGAGATTTTGTACATGTTTTCAGCCATGAGTAGTTGAATCTAGTAGCTTCCGTTTAACTAAATGAAGCTTTAACTCTATGGTTTAGTAATTTAATTTATGGATTTTAATTGTTGGTTATGAGCTTGTGTTTGATTATCTCTACCTGACATGTTAATATTTGATACTTTGATTGTTTGAATTCAAGTTCTGTGTAACTTAGTGAACATTAAATTATATGAACTTGTTACCTAGTAGTTTAGTGACCATTAAATTGCTAGAGCTAGGATCGGCCAAATCTTAGATAAGTGATAAAAGTAACCAATTAAGTTGTGATGGACTGATGGAGAACATAAATTATGACCACAATTGTGTTTATTTAGATCAATCTTACATAGCTTGTCTACGTCTTATAATTGATTTTGTGTTTGCTAGTGTATGACCGTACATAGTTTTACATGAGTTAATGAAAACATTAGTAAATTTAGACTTAAATTGCTAATAAAATAATATTAGATAACCAATATTAATAATCCATAATTAATAGCTAACCATAAAGGAAAAGTGGATTTGAACTAAATAGAAATGTTTTTAGTAATTGATTAAAATCGTTAGTTAAGTGATTAAGTTTGTCTGAACGTCCAAATCAGATAAAAAACCAATTAAACTTTTGCTTGTTTTTAGGTTAATTTTTAGTAGTTAAATTAGTTAATTAAATCTGTTCCCTGTGTTCGACAGCCCACTATTAGTTCTATATTATTTCCAAGAAGGTACACTGCCTTAAATCGTAATAGTTAGTTAAATAGTTGGTAAAACTAGTAGGTGTAACAATATTATGTATCAAGTTTTTGGCGCCGTTGCCGGGGAACGACTATTTAGTTTTAAATTTAATTGCTTTAGGTTAATCGATCCTTTTTGTGAGGTTAAACATGCAAAAAGTTATTTTTTAGCATTAGTTTTTTTTTCTGAATTACTGAACTCACGACGCGAGCCTTAAGCCCACGACGTGATTTCGGTTGTTTTATGTTTTATTTCGTTTTCAGCTTCTGTTTAGTTTATCTGCTTCAACATGAGGTGGTAACGTTACCATGTCGTGGTAAACGTTCAGTAGGACTTTTTAATTAATTTTTGTTCGTTTTTACATTTTTATTTTTGTTTTTATTGCAGTAGTACATGACCCATGGATTCAATGCACCTTTAATACCACCGCTTGAAGATCCAGAGTCAGCCCTTCGTAAAAATATGGACAAGAACGTAGGAGAAACCAACCCACCAAAGAAATCACTGTTCAAAAATCTTAAATTGGTTTTTGGTAAGAAGAAAGGAAAGAACGTAGGAGAATCAAGCAATCCCCCAAAGGACGAAAGCAAGGTTGAAAGCTTTGAGCAGACTACTAATACACAAGAATCTGAAATGGAGTCCGAAACCGAATTAGAAAAAGAAGAGAGCTAACCCGAAGACGAGCTGAAAAACAACATGGAGGACATTGCCGACATTCCAATGGAAACATACAAGTAGAGCATCCGAGAAGACACCGGTCTAGGCTTAGTGCAACCCTCAATTCCCGCTACCGCAACATTCGAGATTAAAGGACATATACTTTCCGTGCTTAAGGATGTTCCATTTTCTGGGAAAGATCATGAGGATGCTTACAAACACCTTGATGAAGTTAATGACATTGATGATTACTTCAACATTCCAAATTTTCCGCACGAAACGATGTTATTGAGAATGCTTACAGTCACGTTTAAAGGAGTTGCTAAGGATTGGTTAAAGGCACTTCCACCCGCTGCCATTACTACATGGGCATAAATGTGTGAACAATTCCTCGAGCAATTTTGCCCACCATCAAAAGTGTCTAAACTCAAGAAGGCGATAGCTAACTTTGAGCAACAACCGGGTGAATCACTTTATGAAGCATGGGAGCGTTACATGGGATTACTTTGAAATTGCCCCCAAAATGATCTTAATGTGCAACAAGAAGTATCAATCTTCTATGATGGGGTAAATGCGATGACAAGACAACTCCTTGATTCTTAAGGATCTTTGACGAAGAAAAATCATGCTGAAATTAAGGAGCTGATTGAAGAGTTTTCTAAGTATAACATCCAAAAATTTTAAGCCAAATTTAAACTTTTTCAACCATGAAACCAAATAGTATTTTACAAAATGTTTTCAAAATATTATTTATCAGAGTGTCCCAGAAATATAATCGTATGGATGAGGAGCGGTACGGTCAAGCCTTCGCCTTGCCATGATCTTCGAAAGTACCTGAAACAACAAACTGAAACTATAAGCCCGAAAGCTTAGTGAGCTACCCCCAAAATACCAATACCACACCGGTAATACCATATCAATAACAGATAATCAACAACATTCATACTGGGCCTTCGGCCTGACTGGACTGCCCTGCAGGGCCTACAGTCTGTCTGGATCTATCCCGAGCCTTCGGTATGACTGGACCGCCATACGGGCCTACAGTCTTTCCGGACCACTCGTAGGGTATGTTAGCCTTCAGCACAAAGCAGGACCGCCTCAAGCCAATCATCAAACAAATAACCATGTGCACAAGACTAACATAAGATAGCATCTACAGACATCAGATATAACTATCTCACAGATCATCGATCACAACAATCTCTCCTGACCAGAGCACCGACCTAAACAGGCCACTAATATTCAATCCTAACGGATCATAAGAGCATAACAACATACTGTCTATCCTGTTACCGATCTAACAGATCATAACCACATGTAGCATACTGTAACCAATATAACAACTAAAAGGGCTGGCCTTGGTGCCTTAGACCCTATTGATATAGTGAGGATAACTCACCTTGCTAGTAGCTCGGAATGATATTGTCCACACCTCCCGATATAGCTCCGACCACCTCGCCTGTACCCAAAAGTGGTCCACTCAATAATTACTTAAATTACCAAAATGCCCTTGGGAGGTACAAGACATCCTACAGTCAAGTCAAGTCCCTGGTCAATGGTCAACAGTCCATGTTGACCTGTTTGCTGAATATAACTTTCTCTGTCTCGAGTCCCTCCTGATTCCAGAATTTCTCGACTCGACTCGCCGAGTCTCTAGCAGACTCGCCGACTCGATACGCGACTCAGTTTGGAAGTCCAAACTGACTCATCGGGTCATTTCCCAGACCTCGTCGAGTCCAAGCGGGACTAATCTGGACAAAACCCTACCCGACTCGCCGAGTCATCCTCCAGACTCGCCGAGTCCATGCGCATACTCTCATGATCAAGCGATTCTGAACTACCCCTTTGATCCAAACAGTAGATCTAGGTCCCTAGAGTGCATTAGCAACGTAAAGTTGCTACCTTTACGTATTTTCATGACTCAAAATCCACATCTAAGCTTTGAATGGGACTTTACTCATAAACAAGGGTTCCTCCATGATCCTATTAAGAACTTTATGGACTTAGGACTTAAAAGAGGTTCAGATCTGAAGTTTCAGCTTCAGATCTAGCTCCCATACCATAATCCCTTCATGAATAGCTAAAGAAAGCCCTATTCTTCACATATGAAAGATTTTAGAAGGAAAGAGGTCAAGGTAACAACTTGTTACCTCCAAAACGTACCCAAGCTGAAGTAGACTCTGGATCCACACGAAATCTTTGATGCTAGCCTCTTGATCTAGAAGTTTCCTTCACAAAAATCACTTCCTAAAGCTCCAAAACACTTTCCAAGCTCACACTCACGGAAATTAGGGTTTCTGGCTCTCAAGGGGTGATAGAGGACAGTGGGAGGCGCTAATGGTCCAATATATAGGGTGCAAAAACCCTGAAATTTAGGGTTTCCACTGCCAGCTCCTACTCGTCGAGTCCCCCATGCAGACTCGCCGAGTCACTCATTAAATGACGTGTCCTGACCAGCTGTTACTCGACGAGTCACAACGTCAACTCGTCGAGTAGACCTTAAAACATGAAATCTAAATGGAATAATAATGATACCTGACAGTTGGGATGTTACAATTCTCCCCCACTTAACTTAGACTTCGTCCTCGAAGTCTGCTGTAGCGAATAACTCCGGGTAATGCTCTCGCATCTCAGCCTCCGACTCCCATGTCCACTCGGATCCCCTCCGATGCTCCCATTGTATCTTCACTAACGGAACCTCCTTGTTGTGCAAGACTTTCACTTTCCTTTCCAGAACGGCAACCGACCTCTCAATATAATTCAGGCGCTCATCAACCTGAATGTCATCCAGTGGCACCACTGCCTCCGGGTCCACAATACACTTTCGCAATTGCGAAACGTGAAAGGTGTTGTGAATCCGGCTGAGCTCATCCGGTAGTTCCAGCCTGTACGCCACTTTACCAATCCTGGCGATAACCCTGAACGGCCCAATATAGCGGGGACCCAACTTTCCCCTTTTTCTGAAGCGAATCACGCCCTACCAGGGTGAGACCTTCAAGAGTACCATATCATCAACCTGAAACTCCAAATCCGATCGGCGTCTATCAGCGTAACTCTTTTGTCGACTCTGGGCGGTCTGTAGTCGCTGTCTGATCTGCTGGATCTTTTCGGTAGTCTGCAAAACTACCTCCGTCCGACCCAACACCCTGTGTCCAACCTCACCCCAACAGATCGGGGTTCTACATTTCCGACCATACAACAGCTCAAAAGGCGGGGTGCCAATACTGGAATGATAGCTGTTGTTGTAAGCAAAGTCTGCAAGAGGCAGA